CCCCAAAACCCCAAAACCCCAAAACCCCTTTATGTAAAGATTTCATTGATTTTATATCATTTTAAACTACTAAATGAAAAAAATGAGATGACAGCACAAACAGTGTGGCAAGAATGCTACGCAGTATGTACCTGCTGAGAGAATATTTTCCTGTCAAATCTGCTCCAACCTAAATTATCCAGAAGCAGAGCCTTTAGTAGAGAGTGAAGGAATTGTAGTAATTTTTAAGATCATAAGACAAGTGATCAAGTATTGCACCCAAATCCCTTCAGAACAGATTAAAGCTCTTGCAGTTGAACTAGACCAAGAACTTTCCATACTAGGAGACAAGCTTTGGAAGAGCAAGGATGGGAGCTTAACAAAGCAGCCTAGAAGTATGGAAAAAGAACTAAACATGCTGTATTATAGGTAGGTCTGATAAAGAAGCTTTATGGTAGAGCCTGACTTTTATTATGAAGAATCGGACTCAAACTGTGAAGAATAGATGTTAATTCTCACTTAGATCTATACTTTTAGCTTTAAAATGACATTTTTCGTTTGTTTAGTGTTATATTAGAACTATATAGTCAGCTTCAATGATCTCCAGTGCTATCTGAATATCTTATGAACAGATTTTGAGAAACTCAACTCAAAATCGCAAATGGAGAGGACCCAGAGATAGAGATTATCAATCTTGAACACAGATTGAATACGGAATGGGAACAAAGACTTGAAGATTGCAAGAGAGACTATAAAGCAATTATCGACCTAGTGATAGAGGTAAGAGGCTTACTTTTACCTATTCATATGTATTCATCTCTCTGATCGCACATTAATAGAGAAAAGATAAAGAAATCGAAAGGATCCAGAACGAAAATGAACAATCAATCCAAGCGTTACATGAGAGATGGAGGACCGAGCTTGAGGAAGTTTCTAAAGAGAATGATGCTGAACTTGAGCGAGCTGGTGAGATACACATCCAACAGCTTACTTTTAAGGATCACCAATATTTCCAAATGGAGCAAAGGCTAACTAGTGAAAACTCAGATTTAATCGCAGAAATTCGTAAGAAATTTTACTTTATTCCATGGAATAGACTAAACTTTATTGTAGAAGAATTAGAGAGGGAGATTGATAATGTGAGCAAAGAATTAGAGACATTCACAAGAAGACTAGCATGAAGAGATAGCCAGTTAGCTAAATTAGGCTCTATTCAGAATAAGAACTATGATGAGATCATAAAACTCAGGTATTTTTTTCCTTTAATTAGTAATTTTTAGAACTTTGAATTTTCAATTAAGAAAATCTTATGATAAGCTGTATCTATTTTCATATAAAAAGATAACTGGTAAAGATGTGCTGATTGATAAGGAACAAAATATTGATATTGATTTCTCAAATAAGAAGATGAGACAGTTTGTCAGGAAGTACTCAGAGTTTAAATTACCTGACTGAAAATATATATCTTTAAGAAATTTGCTTCCAGAAGATCCAGACTTTATGCAATCTTTAGCTGATATATTTCCATCTAGAGCCAACAAATTGTATCTAAACTGGAACAACAAAGAAACCCTCCCGATCAAAGACTACATTCCTCAAATAATCTCTCTCTCCTCATCCATCTCTGAAGAACTCGTCCTAATGTACTTCAGTATCCCCACTTTGTGCCTATCCCTTATCTTCAAGTACTACTGCTCGACCTCCCAAAGCTCCTTATGTGGTCCAATCTCTTCGTTAACTTTCTACAGATGTAGGCTACTAACCGATACTCCAGTTGATTTCTCTACCAGCTTAGCTACCTCTCAGCTATCAAATCTTATTTTTATCGAATGAGGAGATTCCCAGTTCTCAAATTGGTGAAGCGCCCCGCAGAGATTTACTTACCTTGTGAAGGGGTTTAAGAATTGATATGTGTTTAAGAGGAATTTGAGAGAAATTGATTTTGGACAAGGGTATTTGAGCAAGACGAAGGCGAAGAAGTTGTTCAACGAAGTTGGGTTTTTGCCAGATGTGGAGTTTGCATAAAGGGTAAAATGTGCTCAGGAGAGTGAGAGATGCATTGGAGAGGCTCTGGGTTTTTAATATTTCAGTTTTACTTAAATAATTAAATTCAATCAAAATTAGATTTAATGGGGTTTTGGGGTTTTGGGGTTTTGGGGTTTTGGGG